TTATGAACATTGCTCAACATCATGAAAATTAAACCTTATTTTCAATAAGCAATCCTGAAAAATATTTGGGGGTGCTTAACTTTTTTCCAGGTGTATATATATACGATACAGCTCAAAACTGCAGTTCTTATGTAAGTGTAATAATGAGTTTATTATCTAGTATATGCAAATATTTTTATATTAACTTCAATATCACAACATGCAAACTCTTTGAAGTTGTTCATATTCACTTCCGAGATAGTAAATATATTGATAACTGAAAACAGGTGATACTAAATGCATCCACAGAAGTTACAAGAAAAGTAAATTAAAAATTTAATAGTATACTGAGGTTCATGCTAGCTGCATGTACACTTCAAAAGTTCAAAAGAATTTAAGACAGACTTTTTAAAATTAAATTTTTTGAAGTGCTGAATCTAAGAGATATTTTATAGTCTATAAAAACTGATGCAATATCATGCATACCCAATATTACATATTATGAATGAAACATTAATTAAAAGTATTTTTAACTAGTCTACAAAAAACATTAAACATTTTTACACTAAATTGAACAATTATTACCAGAACTATCCACTTTAAGAATTACCAAAACCATAAGCATAAAAACCTTTAGGGCTTCTTGAAATTCAACTTCTTTTTCTTGTATAATAGCATGGTGGTTAATGAAGACTTCATCCATACCAGCTTGCCACTGAAATGCTTCAGAATTTTGTTGGATTTCTAAGGGTGAAAGTGGAAGGTACTCCACAATGTAAGATATTTGATGACAGGACTCCATTAAGGCATCTTTTAGCTGTGGCAGTTTGTTTTTCTTCACATCTTCAACAAATGCCTAAGAAAAAAAATCAAGGTTTAATTTCATTATAATAGAGCATCATCTTTAACTTCCATAATTTATTTTAAAAATTCAAAAGTACAATAGTAATTGCTATGGTTGTGATAATATCAAAACGATAGTAATAAACACAAATGATGATATCAATGTACACAGTTCTTGGTGTTCTAGAATGAGTTAAAATTTATAAATACCAAAAATCCTGAGAATATCCAATCTATATCTTCTTTGGTCACAAGAACTGAGCTTATGTAGATGAGGGTGTGGATGTGGTAAATGGATTTTGAGAAAGCATTTGATAAAGTTAAGAAAATGATCTCTGTAGGCATGGATAGGTTGTTTCATTGGATAGAAAACTGGCTGAATGGAAGAAAGCAGGGGGTTCTTATAAATGGAGTTAAGTTAAACTGGATTAATGTCATAAGGGGGGTACCTCAGGGCTCAGTGTTAGGACCTTTGCTCTTTTTGATTTTTATCAATGACATAAATGAAGGAATGATTAATAATTTGATGACAATATTAAGGTTTTGAGTGTTGCTGGCTGTAAGGAGGATGCTGTTGCTTTATAAAAGGATTTAGATCATTTAGTGAGTTGGTTGAATAAATGGCATATATATAGCTATTTAATTAAAATAAATGCATGTGAGATATTTGAATTATGAGTACAATTTTGATGGGAATAACCTTAACAGTGTTATGAAAAAAAAAAGGATCTTGGTATTCAAGTTGATCAGTCACTTAAGCTGTACAAGTAATGTGCTGTTGCTAGTGGCAGAGCAAGTACAATTTTAGGTTGCATCTACAGAAATACTGAATACCAGTCTAAAGAGGTTATAATTACATTGTATAGATGATTGGTTAGACCACATTTAGAATATTTTGTTCAATTTTGGTCTCCTTACCTTAGGAAGGACATTCAATTTTAGGAAATTGTTCAGAGAAGGGCTATTAGGATGGTGCCTAAGATGGATAGGTGGTCATACAAGGAGAGGTTAAGATCTCTGAAATTTCTTTCTCTTGAAAAAAGAATAGTTAGAGGGGATCTGATTAAGGCATAGAGACTTAAGGGATTTACATTATCTTTTTATCGTGCTTAATTATGAGAATGGTAAAGCTAGGAGACACAAAAATAAATTCTGGCAAGGTGGGAGTCACTTGAACTAAGACAGCTATATTTTTCTAACAGGGTGGTTGGCCTTTGGAATGGGTTGCCTTCAGATGTGGTTGAGGCAATTAATTTAATGGAATTTAAGGGAAGCATTGATAAATATGTGAATGATAGAGGCTGGTTTTGAGTATTTATTTTTATTTTAAAGTTTACTTTAGTGAATGGAATGGCCAGATGGACTAATGGGCCCCTTTTTGCACTTAAATTATATATATATATATATATATACATAATGAAATCACTGAGTTATGTAATGAAAGCTTTGTGACATCAGAACATTCTTTAATGAGACCCCAAACACTATTTGTTTTATTCACAGTTTAATAACTCATTCAGAAACTATAACAACTCTCTATAAATTATCAGCTCAGATGCACACATTATTTCTCTGATATCTTGAATTCATTATATGTTGTATAAAAATTTTTAATAAAACGATATACAATAAATATCAATAATATTTTCATCTCTTACCTTAGAGATCATCAACTCCTGAGTGTTTTTTGGTATCGATAAGGCTTTATCTACAACTTGTTTGTACTCGTCACAAATCCTAGAAAATAAAAATTTACACAGGTAATGCCATGACAAAAGTAAATAAAAGTAAACAAAAAGAAAAGTTGATAGTTTCTGAAGAAGACTCAAGAATGACATGTTGAACATATAGCAATCAATTTGCCTGAATTTTTTAGTTTTTTCACTTCTGTATAATCAAAATATTTATTTTTTTTCTTTAAAAAGAAATCATTAAATCATGGTGTTTTTTATGTGTCAAGCATGTTTTCAAACACAAGTATCTAAGCCTTTAGTGAATATAGTGTAGTTAGTGTTACATGTGGCTTAAGACATTTGCTGCTGCAGTAATTGTAACACATGCACTAAGCCAATAATGTACAGTGACTTATATTGTTTACTTGTGTCAAAGAGGCATCAAAAACAGAAGGTTCAATTCCAAGAACTGTTCAGCAAACCTATTCATTTCAGTAACTATAATATTTACAATATCCTCCATCACAAACAGTTTGAAAATACCAACTGGAACAGCCTTTTGCAGCAAACCTGTAACCAGTTGAGGCTGTGCAGTAAAAGAAATATAAATTGGACTAACACATTTAGCTTGGACATTTCAGTGTCACTGTCAGTGTCTGGATCAGCAGTGTCAGTTACAGATGAATCAGCTTGAACACTAACTTGGACTGCACACTACAGGTCTCTTTTATCATCAGACTCACAATCACTATGCTCATAATTACTATCCCTATCTACTTCATCCTCCTCAAATGACTCTGGATCAGAAGCTTGTAAATTACTTGCAGTTTTATTCAGAATAAAACGTCTGAACAACTCTGACATCTTGTAGCTATAATGGTAACCACAACAAGCTACTGCAGAAATCTCAGGCCATGTAGATTGAAACTTTAGTGAAAAATATTTTTTCTGCCATTCACAAGAGGGCAACACACATAATCATTGTATAACACTAAGGGATTGTTTATCTGTACACTAGTACCTAAATAATAGAAATGACTAACACACTAATACTTCATTAGTGACAAACATGTTAAAGCATCAATATTAGTTAGGCTTTTCTCAACTGTACAAAATTTTCAGTCATCATGTAAGAGTATTATTATTATCATGTTGCTCCAGGTGATATAAATAACCAAATTAAAAAGGTTATAGTTGTGACCATGAGAGAAGATTTATTTATTAATTAAAAGAAGTTTCAGTTTTATGGCCAAAAAATCATAAACAGCAATCTAATTATTTTAGGATTTCATTTTCTAGTGTATTGATTTATAACATTAAGTATATTTGACAGTTCTAATACTGGATAGTTTTCATTAATGTATCTTATTTTAAATTACTTTAGTTATGGTCTGTAATAATACATGTAGTTCTAAACTGTATAGCTGGCTTACTTTTGACTAATAACATATGTAATCTTTTTTAAGGGTCAGACAAGAGTTTTAGTATTGTTTTTCACAAATTGTCAATGTTACGTTTTAGTTCTTTTCAATATTTGTAGAAAATAATAACCTAATAATCTATTGCCTGTTACTTTCTTCTATATATAAGCTCATGACAATGAGTGAAGATTGTCAGCCTGATGAATTAACACAGTCTATGTTGCAACCTTTTTTATGTCTGCTCATGTGTAACAGATTTTACAAGCATATGACTTAACAATCTATGCACCATTTTATATTTGCTATCTTCTTTATGTCAAGATAGCTTATCAACTTGAAAAGTTATTAATTTCTTTATACAGTGATTATTGTGAAATAGATAAGATTATGAACCAGATGACTTAACAATGAAGTTATTTCTTAGTATGAATTATCATTTACTGTGGAATATACAATGTTACAGACTTTTTTATTTAACAATTTTCTTATAAATCTGTATCTACTACCTTCTAATTTTATGCTTGCTGTTGATAAACAGATTAGATTAGGACTTATAACTTTAAAAAATCTGTGTTTAGCTTTATATAGTGTTACCTTTTACTTTCTTCCTGCTGCTCATTTGAGATGTGATTCAATAATTTTTCCAAAAGGCTCTCTGTTTGGCTTGCTAAAGACTCATAAAGTTCCTGAAAATCCAACTGGAACATTCCGAGATCAACTATTTTGTCTGCAGTGTACATAAATTTGTTGATCCAAGATTTATATTCAGAAACCTGTTTTTTCCACACTTCAAAGCTGCTCTCAGACTCAAGCATATTAGTTAGTGATTTTTCAGCCTAATGATGATGCATTATTGGAAAATAAAAATCATAAGTTAAAGAATACATCAAAAATGTTATCATTAAAAAATTGTTTTTAAAGAAAATTTACAGATTTAAAGCATATCTTATGATAGCCTGAACTCTTGTGGTTATGACTTCCTTCTGTTATACGCCTTGTTCTTTTCTTGACAACTTTACTAACATCTTTAACTGAACACTTCAACAGATGAAAAACAAACTCTTAAAAATGAGTTCAGTGCTAGGAAATGCAAATCAAAGATCCACATATCATATAACAGGGTTTTTGAAATTTTAAAGAAAAAAACAGCTTCATGATTTCTATGGAAAATTTCAATATTCTAATAAACTTAATAAAATGTCAAATTAAAAGTATTTATACATTTCTAATCATGTAAATAAAAGAGCAAATTATATCTCCAGAATATATATTTATGGGAAAACTGTATGAAGAAGTAAAAAAAAAAGTTTAATTTATCATATACAATGTTTTACTACATCAAATAAAAAAATAACTTTTTGAATCAATAATCAACGTGAGTTTATTAAAATTCAGACACAGAATTATCAACTCAAAATATGAGAAAATAAATTATTTTTTTCCAAAGTCTAAAAGTTAACATTTTTCATACACTGGAAATATATTTCCGATAGGTACTTACTCCTTTAACACAAAGCTATCTCAATCTTCTTCTGCCCTCTAAGCATTGCTAAAACATTTTTGCAATCATTGCACCAGTCTATATACCTCATCAATTTCACACAATTTCTGAACATGTACATATCATGTTACTACTCTCCAATAATAATATCGCACCACCTATGGTGGCACAACTAGCTCCCTCTGCTATTCCCTCTTGATCCTCCCTTTCAAAATTGGCAGGTTCTAAAAGAGGAACACCAGTCATGGGGAGGAAGAATGGGAATTGTTTGAGTGGAGGTAAGTACCTATCGGAAATACATTTTCTTAAATTGAAAAAAACACATTGTAGCAAAAAAATTCTAATAATAATAGCCTATGAAAACAAGACAGAAAAAACTTTGATAAAAAATATAATAGAAAGTTTCTTGTTGTTTTAGTGCAAACCTACACAATTGGCTACATGTTCTTTGTCCACTATGGGGAATTGAACCCACGAACTTAGCAGTGTAAGTTTATAAAGTTACTGCTGGCCTACTGGGCTTGGGGACTGGTAGAAATCCATAATTCAGTCAGTTTCACTGTGGTTTGTTTTCAGGAAATGATTGTGTATGTTTTTTGTAATTATAAGTAAGTATAGAACAACTTATAAATCATAATATTTGTAAAACATCTATTAATTTTACGAATGCTTTTAAATGTCTACCTCATCTATATGTATATAATATCAAGCAGAAATGTTATCTGTGCATCTACTCTTCACATATAAACTTGGCATGCATCCTTATGGTCCCCTAGGTAGTGTCATAGTGGAGTAGGCATTGGGATCTGACCCCTCATGACAACCCTGTGGAAGTCATCTCAACAAAACTTGGCATGCACCTTCAGGGTCCCTACAGACAGTCTTGAGGGATCAACATTTAAATCTATTTTCCCATGTTATCCCCTATGGCCCCTGTGTGTTTTACATACTACTTTATTGATCTCTAACAAACTCTTAGGGCTCTCCTTGAAGTGATATTGGTGGTTTGGCATTTGGATATGTTCCCTGTATGTCACTTTCTAAGGGCTGTTGTGTCTTCTCCCCAAGTGCTGAATAGGTATATCAGATAGTAGTAATCAGTATTATAGGCATGGGTTAGCTTGGGCAAGACTGCATGATGGTTCCCATGTCTGAACAATTCACATGTAGAGCTTTTGTTTTTAACCTCCTGTAATTTGTCTCAAATGGATTGTACACGTCCTGCCCATCCATCACTGTTCCGGGATCATACAAAATTTTGTACCTGGCTGCACCATTGGTAGTAACATATAAGGCAGCACAAACATAAGCAGTTTTTCTATTAGCACATAGTTTACCATCATAATCAAATATAAAATGGTTGAATTTAGTATATAGAAAAAAACTATTAATTCTTCATATTATAACATGATTACTGATCAAGTGATGCAAATAAGTTTTTTACTTGAATAAATTGAAAACATACCTCACCATCTAAAATATAAAGATACTTATTAAAGTTGTTCATGTATTTCTGAGGATGCTGGAATTGTTCTTTGAGAACAGTTAATATCTGTGTCTTAAGAGAGATAATCATTTCTTCTAAGATAACAGGCTGAAGTGGAGATTTGGATTCTAGAATTCTGGTATGTTCCTATTTATACAAAAAAATAAAAAAAAGTATTGGAGATATGAAAGAAATACCTTATAGATTCAAGTATAAATCATAGTAAGAGGTATTAAAACTAAAGCCTCAAAGGTATATCTGAGGTTTACCATTTACTTTTTGTGATATTCAAAAGGTAGATAATCATGTAGAAGTTTGTTTGACCTAGAAAATATATTATTTCAAAAAGTGTGTGTATTGATAAAATTAATAATTAATAATGTGGGATGGAATATGAATGGTCTCATTCTTTGACACTATACATTACTGTTAATTTCAAATACTGCAAAACAGCTACTAAAATGAATAAACATCAGAAGAAATAAACCTCTAGATGGCAAAAGAGATATAATTTTCAGAATTCCAAAAACGTAATTGAACAATATTTTGAGAAAGGATTTAATACATAATGAAAGATGAATAAACCTGTAAAAATATGTGCATAGACGTCTTAACATATTTAAAGTCTGATGCTTAAGATACATCAAAGTTTATTTATTAAAACACATATTTTTTACAATCTGCACAAGGAATTATTCTAGTATCTTTTAAGTTGTTTTATTTTGTGATTATCATTGATGCAACACAAGAGTAGAAACACAAACTTGTAACAGTTGTTTCATACCTTTCTAGTTAAAGAGACTTCTACTTTGTATAGATAAGAGCTTAACATTAATTGATTAATCAAGTGTGTTTGTTATGTCATCTAATTTGTCTCTGGCTGATACTTGAAAACCAAAACATACTGTATTCAGACGATTTTCAACTCGAGGAATTATGCTAACAGCATGAAGCAAAGAATCAAAGACATCCAGCAAAACTGTTTCAAAATCATGATAAGTTGGTTCAAGTTTGATCTGCTGTCCAACTGCAATCAATCTTATAATAAATATGTGACTTTCCTGAAACAAAAAACATATGTACAAATTTTACTATATATATACATATATATAGATAAACACAGACATTTTTGCACAACCTACTGGATGACAGCATCTTATCTAGTCTACAGAGCCTCAAACAAACTTATTTGCAAAAGTTTAGAAAAAAATCTTAGTGTTTTCTAACTACTCTGTAACAATTTTTTATGAGACACATGCAAACAAATCCATGAAGGTTCTATGGGCATGCAAGCGTGTATCTCTTTTAAAATGCAGCCTCCTATAGTCCAAGGTTTACCAACTAAAAGTAACTGCTTACTGTACTTAAGCCCTCAATTTTTACAATACATATTTTGGGACAGCCAAGGATTTGAATTGTAGTAGTAAATGGCTGGGTTCATTCTCTTCTTATGTATATGTGGTGAGGAAAAGTATTATATTTTAAAGTTAATGGGTTCTAAATTTTGATCTTATCTGAAGTCTTTTTAAAAAAAACAAGAAAAAAAAAAGATCTGTTATTTTAATGAACATCATAAGTAAACACAAACAGTACAAAATGATTTGCAAGGTAGTAATTTAAGGTGTATGTCTAAGACCCATATGCATTGTGCTCAGATTAGTTGACTAACTTTCATCAGTGCTTATAATTATTCACAAAGAACAGAGAAAAGTATTTTTAGCACATAGAGAAGAATGCTTGGAACTAATTTTCCTACAATGCTAAATAAACAAGTGTTTAAAGTAACTTTTAAGGAAATTTTCCTACAATACTAAATAAACAAATGTTTAAAGTAATTTTTAAAGAAATTTTCCTATGGTTATTTTGTAAATGAAACTCATATGTAAACAATGAAAAATGTTATGAGGGGTTTTATACCTTTTTTGTGGTAAACCTCAGGAAATAACATGGGGATGTACTAGAGCTACAATTTGTTTTACAAGGCAATCAAGTTTGGTCATTGATAACTATATGATATACACAGAATGACATTATTTTAGGTCATGTAATAAAGAACAAAAGAGAAATGAACCCTACTAACTAGAAGTTATTCTTCAAGTAAGTGGAAGACTGCTTTGTCTTAGCAGAAGTCAGAATAAGAATTAAGAACATGGCTTTAAGCTAATTAAACTTACAAGATTTAAAAGTGAGTTAAAAACATACAGGAGAAACAATCAGAAAAAAAAATATATATATATACAAAATGTTTTGGGAGAGTAAACAAACCTGTTTTTCATTTTCTCTGAAAGTTGTTAGCTTACATCTCTATAGTTCAACTTATATTTTTATGTTAAAAATATATACTTAGTAGTGTGTTGTGATTCTTGCACTTGCTTACTTGTTTGTAAACGTTTGTTGAAGTGAAAGTTACAGAAAAAAGTTTTAGGACTGTTTCTCTTTGTGTGTAAATCAAAGTTCCTCTAGTTTTTTCTTAATGCAAATCTTATGTGAAGTGTATGATAGTGTAAATAAACATTAGCTTTGATATTCAGAGATGAAAACAATGATAACTTGGTGAATTTTATAATTGAAATGTTTTTATCTTAGAAATGTTGTAAATAAGTTGGCAAAGGTTACATAGCAAATTTCTACTAACTAAAGCCAGCCACTTGAGGAGGCGTTTCAAAAGACTAAAGCACATACAAAGCCACAAGAGATTTAAGCCTATAGCTATCATAGATAAAGAGAAGTGTAAACTGTGGGAAATGGCAGCAGGATTTCAACAGGAGCTTTTGCTTTTACATGCAAGGGATACATCAGCTAAAAATGACCTTCAGGAAATTAAGAAGAGTACTATTAGAGTTAAAAGTAGTGGAGTTAATTGCAATGAGTCTATTCTATTGAGCAACAGATTTCATCCCTTGGCTTGTGTAAATGAGGAACTATTGGAGGGAAGGAAAACAAAAAGGTCAGAGAAGGAGGTGGATGATAAATTTAAGAAGTTATAGTTATAGGTGATTCCATGACAAGGCATGTGGATAGGATAGTCTGTAGGGTTAATAGGAAAAAAAATTACATAAAGATATTCCTTAAGAAAGAAAAGGGTGGCTGCAAGTAAAAAAAAAACAGGTTGGCTCACAAAGGGTATGAGAGATAAAATTAAAGAAAAGCATCACATATTTAAAAAATATAAATTGACTGGTATGACGAGAGATTTCTAAGATTATAGAAGATTAACAAAGTTGGTCAAACAGGAAATTAGGACATCAAAAAGGATGTATGAGAAAAGGTTGTATGAAAATGTAAAAATTAACAATAGGGATTTCTTTAAATAGATTAAGGGTAAAAAGAATAGTAGGATTGGGGTAAGACCGATGAGGGATGATAAAGGAAGGCTTGTATCTGATGATTACGAGATGGCTAGGTTATTAAATTCTGCATTTTTGTCAGGTTTTACAAATGAATATTTAAGCAGTATTACTCATCTTGAACAGATGATGGAAGAAAAACAAGGTTGAAAAAATGATTGCATTAATTCTGAGATTGTTAAGAAAACATTGGGAAGTTTAAAGAATGATAAGGCTCCTGGACCAGATATTTCCCCAAGGATTCTGAAGTAGGTTAAGGATTGGATATGTGAGCCTCTTGCTACTATTTTTTATCAGTCCTTGAATAGTGGGAAGGTGCCAAAGGATTGTAAGTTAGCTAACATGTCACTCCTCTTTTTAAGGGAGGTAATAAAAATTGTCCCAGTAATTATGAGCCTATTAGTCTTACATCAACTGTGGGAAAAGTTTTGGAAAGTCTGATAAAAGATGCTTTGCAAAGTCATTTAACAAAGTTTATAATTTTATTGGATATTCAACATGGCTTCACTAAGGGAAAATTTCTTAACAAATGTTTTGACATTCTTTGACAAGGATACTGCTTATGTTGATAAGGGTAATGGTGTATCTGGATTCTCAAAAAGCATTTGACAAGATGACACATAAAATGATTGTAAAAATATTATCCCTATAGGTGTGGGGGATAAGTTAGCTAATTGGATAGATGAGTGGCTGGATGGAAGAGGGTTGTTATAAATGGAGTTCAATCACACTGAATTAATGTCACAAGTAGGATACCTCAAATCTCAGTCTTCGAGCCTTTGCTCTTTTTGATTTATATCAATGACATAGATGAAAGAATGATTAGTTCTAGTAATAAAATAATTACATTGGTGAGGAAATAACAAAATGCAAAATAGAAGATAAAATAATGGTGAAAAACTCATCAAATTGAAATAACTTTATTGATAAAACATGAAAACAATGTTTCGGGTGACAGCCCTTCATCAGGTCTTGGGTATTTATGTATAGATCGTTGTTATGAAATAATTTCATATGGCTACGTATATACATAAAGGTTCAGTTTAATAAGCTATGAAAGCTGCTCTCTGCTCTTCATTCATCTAATGCACACCATTCACTTTTACATTCAACTTCATATGCTATAGGTCCAGTACTTAACACAGTTCAATGAGATATCCATAAAACATTTCATCTATAACTAAAATGTTCTTTTTTTAACGTTTTTTGTATTATTGGTAACATTCTTTCACAGATTATCAATCCTTTATGTAAAAATTAATTATATATATATATTTACAAAGGATAAAAAATATTACAAAATCTAGTATGGTTTATGCATGTACGATTAGAAAATGGGGTAAACCATATCACTCTAAAGGTAAATTGAGCAACAATCTTTAATATGTTAGGCAAGTATTAACATAACTACCTCAGATGTACATAAAAATTCAGTGTATTCTTCCACAGACAACTTGCAGAGAGATTGGAGTTGTAGAGTCATTAACATTGCAACATTGTCAAAAAAAGATTGTAGATGCAGCTGGTTAGTAGAAGGTGGAACATGCTTCCGCTTGATACCCTGATGAATTATATTTTGTACAGCTGTAAACCACCTGAAAGAAGAAAAGAATCTACTTATTAATGTCTTGTAAACATCATAATTTGAGTCAATTTTTTCAGTTTTTCCCTACTGCTATTATATCAACATAAAACAAAAAAATTCCAAATCTATACTTTATAAACAGAATTGCAAGAAATATTCTGGTCTTCCTACATTTTCTGCAACTAAAGATATAAAAACTTGTTTTCTTAAAGAACCCATTATTTAGATTTTACATATCAATGGTGTAGTATGCAAATACTACATATCTTACTCTCCCACAGAATTTATTTATTATTTACAAGATTATTTTCTTTTTTTTAAGTTCTGAATTTGGAACATTAAGTCTGTGTCCTTTAGTTTCCCTTGATTCAATAAACAGGCTTTAACTTTTTGTCTCTTTCATTCCACTTTTTACAAATCACTGCACTTTCCTTCTATACATTAGGTCTATGAATCTCTCATTTTTGTGGAGATCAAGAGATACTGAGTGTCACAGAAAGTTTACTGTTAAGTTACCGCTAACATTACCATGCTCTCTATGTAATTTTATGAGCTGCACAGAGCATACATGTTCTAATATTGATTATAACACAGGGAATTGCACAATCCAAAAGACATTGTCAAGAAATCATTCAATGTTTATCATGTGTTGAATTTTGTCATGGGTATGCTGTAATCATTACTTCACTTTGCCAACCTCTTTAACTAAATACAGTAAAAACATTCATAGTACTCTGGACAAGGCATCTAGGTACTTATGTTTTACTAACAAATGAAAGCAATTGTGTAAGTTTATGTGCTGATTCCTACAGCTAACAGAAAAGTAAAGCATTGTACTTTTTTCTCCACAATTACCACAGAAGATTCATGCATTGTCAGAATTTGCAGTCTTTTAATTTCTGAATTCATTTCTTTCTTAGATACATCTCTATTGATCCAGAAAGTTGCCTAGGTGGTTGTTCAATAGTCCTGCATAAATATGATATTGTGTGAAAGTATGTTCTCAAACTTGCTTTAAGGGCCCATAAATGCTTTCTGACGTCATTTTAATTATCAGTAAATTATTATGCTCTTCAATCATAGAAGAGATAGCATCCTCTATAATCTCTTCAGATTAGATGATAAACTAGCCCTCAGTTCTAACAGAATTTTCATAAAATACCCTGGGCTAATCTCCCTCACTATACTTCAACTCAAAAATCTAAGTTAGTAATGAGTCTTTTTAAGGATCCACTACTCCTTATATTTTTATTGTCTATCTTTTAATGCTTTATTCTTGATCTGTAGAGTAGAATTTAACAAATCTACACTTGTTTCTATAATAATATTCTTTATCTTTAGACATGTTCTTTTTACAACTGCCCAACTATAAACTGGTAGTTAAACCTATATCATGGTGCTGTTGATTCTTTGTAGCAACCTAAAGAGTTGGAAATATACCCATATATCTGGTGGCAAGAGATATTATTTATTATTATATAGATGAATCTTATAGGTCATTCAATATTTTGATGGCTCTTCTGTCAATATCTCAAGTAACTTGTTCATTTGTATGACCATTCTGATTAATACATAGTAACATTGTATTGGGGTAGGTTTTCATAGGAGTTTTTTAAGGTATCAATAAATGCAGTCACATTTTCATGGTTTTTACTTTTGAAAACTATAAATCCCTTCCTATAAATGGCATGACCTTCTATAAGATCTAAGACATTTACTAGAATTAAAACAGCATCTGACTTGGGCTGAGGTAATCAGTAGTATCTAGAGCTCACTGATCTGAATTTATTACTAGCCTCTGGGCAGCCTGTCTCTCATGGCAACTATTTAAGCCACTAATGACATTAATTATATGAAAGAATTGTTTATGTCTTCTTCTTCTTGCATAAAAAATGTTAACATTTTCTTACATTGAAAATGGTTTTCTTGACTTGCACTGCCCTCTATATGCAAAAACATTTTACTCGCAACTAGCCTTGATACTCCCATCTACCCTCATTCACATGAGACATCTACATGATATCATTCATGCAGCAACCCTCTACTAACAGGAGTGCAACACAATTCTTATCATCATCACTAGTGCCCTCTCTTCCATGAATCCAATAATCACTTCGAGAAGGGGCAGTACATACAAAACCATAACAGAATTGGGGAGGTCATGTGCAAAATGTGAGAAGAGGTATCTATCAGCTATACATTTTCAGGGTTCAAAAATGTTAACTTCCAATATCATATCTTAACTACTCTCACAAATCGCTAGAATCTCACACTGAGCTGGAGGAGAGTCCAATGAGAAGATGACCCCCCCTTTAGAAAGTGCCCAAAGGAAGACCATGGGGTGTGTGAATAAAGAGAAGGCAACACCCACATGTGAAAATGTGTTGCAATAAAGGCAGAATCACAGGAGGGAACTCCCTGCAGCATCGTGTGTGCACATCCAACACAATCATCACCACATCCACCAGGAACCAACATCTAGGGGACAGCAAAGTGGAGGTGCATCTCCAGTCCATCACCAAGTGGCACAGCAGTAGGAGAAGGGTACCCAGCCACACACATGTCAAATTATAGGATCCCAGGTGTAGAGTGTCTAGGGCACATTGGACCAGAAATGGGAGATCGACTTCAATCAACACCAGTCAAATTGTGATAGGGATATCTGGCCCACAGTAAGCAGAGTCCTTTACATTTCACCTCGAATATGGGAACTGGTAGGGAAAATGACCCTACCAAGGATCTGCATCATCATGTGTACACGTCCAACACAACCATCACCATATCCACCAGGAACTGACATCCAAGGGACAGTAGGAAGGTGAACAGTAAAGTGGGGGTGCATCTACAGTCTATCACCATGCAGCATTGGGAATGTGTCATCAAGTCTGCAGTAGGAGAAGGGTACCCAGCCACACATATGAGGATTTACGTGGCTGGTCCAGCTCCAACCATCACCATATTTGCCAGGAAACAACATCCGGGAACAGTAGGAAGAAGGGTGACTCAGTTGGAGGGACAAACTGTATATTGGCAGAATGCATCGTCCATCATCTGACGCATCTGGAATTGTACATCAGATCCATGATATTATGAGTGTTTAACACCTCTGCCCTACTCTCAACTGAATGAGATTGAGCACACTCAGGAAGAAACCTCTATGGTCCACCACTCTAGAAGGTAGGAAATGGTAAGTGGGAAGAACTCCCATACTCCACTAGTAGAAGGGGAACACAGCACATTCAAGAGTCTGGAGGAACACTACACCAGAGACAGTGCAAAGGTTGACTGTGACACCTTACTTTGAAAAGCAGACCTATCCATTGACCTACAATACATGGATCATTAGGGATGGGCAGAAATTTTCATCTGCTTTACTCATGTTAGTCCATGAGCATGTGGTACAGACAAACATCTTTATAAAGCAAAATACCACAAATAATACCTATAAGTGATCTTGCAGAACACCCCATCTCAACAGTGGGTGCACTCGACTCACAGGTCTAACAGTGTGGATTTAAGAAGAAGTACACCTGGTCAGGCAAACTTGCCACAAAGCAGGATCCTAAAATGCATAAAAGGGCCCCTGGAAATAAAAAGCAAAAAAAAATGAGCACTCATCCACTTATAGGAAATCATGGAGTGCAAAATGGAGACTAGAGGAAGACAAAAACTTGTAGAACAAGATACGGCCAGGTGGTGAAGATAATGAAAAGTGAAAGTAGTGGTGAAGTGGTGTGGAAACGGTGTTCCCTTGCCTTTTTTTTTTGGCCGGAACGCCATTACCTCACTATTTTTAACAAATCCTACCTTACAAATCTCAAACTTCATGAAGTTTTTCCCACCCCTACAAGAAAGAATCATTAACACTTTCATTCAGGTTATACGAAATTTATCAAAGTATAATGAAAGAAAATACTGCAAAATGCAAAATAAAAGGTGTAGTTCTGTTAGCATTGATTCCAAAATTCCAAACAATTTATGATCAAAGCTTAAACTTCTTATCTTTTCACATTTATTTTCTGTAGTTATTATATTGCTAGCAACTGACTTAGAAACTCAATGAAACAAAATGAATAGTAGTGTTGGGACTTTTGAGTATGGAAAACCAAATTCCAAAGTAAATTACCTGAGAATTTCTACATCCCATCCTTTTACACCTATTTCCCATGTTCATTTTACTGTTAGCGGCTGAAGTAGAAACCTTTTGAAAAGAAAGCAATGAATCACCACTCTTGGCATCAGATTTTTCTTGGCTTCATAAACACAGTTGGCTAGAGTTTATCGGCTTGTTTGTAGTACAGTAATTGCACCAGGCATTGTCTAAAGTACTATATAAAAGTGAGAGAAAATATTTATGATTTGGCTGCATACAAAATCTGATCCAATTAAATTGTTAGGTATTTGAATGTTAGTTACCTCGCGAGGTGGTCGGGATTTAGCGGTATAGGTGTAAAAGTGTATAAGATCTTATGAACATTCTATTTCCTATTTAACCATACTCACACAGTAACCAATAAATGCTTAGTTTCCTGTAATAAAAATATGGTCAGTTTTGGTTTAGCTAATATTTCTAACTTAGCCTTCTTGTTAAGCACTCTAGAAGCCTTACAGAAAAGGAATATTACTATAGTTTATGCAGATAAGTTAATTCATCACAGCATATGGTTTTTAGAAGCAATGAAGTAACATAATGGTAAAAAGGCCTTAGAAGCAGAGAATGCCATTAAGGAAATGAAGTTTAATTAATAACACTGACAGAGAACAATAAGATTATTTCAATCAATCATGGTCAATATTTAACCAGTATCATAAACAATATGAAACAGTGGTTATTCACACCAACTTCTTCTCATTAACCAACTGGGTCACAGCCAGGCACCTCTAATTCCATTTCAAACATAATTTCTGAACTCCATACCTTAGAAGTCAATGAGTAACCAGCAGAGATAAATATAGGCTTTGGAGAAAGAGAAATAGAGCCCCCTCTGTAAATGTTTCAAATTGCCATTT